GTGGCCAGACATCCGTCTTCAACGCATTGTTTTTGCATATGGTATCTAAATTCATAACTTTCCAGTGCTTGTTAAGGAAAAGTTTTTCTAAACAGCAATACTATTCGAAATATATAGTTGCTGAATAATATATTTGTCCAGTATAGCACATATCTTAAAGTAACTAGCAGACTTGCACTGCACTATCCAAGGAAAAAAGATTTCAACTGGCACCCACCTTTTAATAATAGATATCTTGAAGATGTTCTTGGAGGAAAGACAATACAGGGCTGGGCTTGATAGGTATACACCTTTGATACAATCTCCAATCTTCTAATGTTACTCTGAACTTCGATATTCGTTTGTATCTTGCCCATTATCATTACTGCAACTCAAAGATCACCCCAGAATGAGAAACCGTAACTCTGACACCCAAGCGAAAATAAACTTAATTACATTTCATCATACATTAATGAGAGTGTACCTTTCTAGAAATGCAAACAATAGATGAAGCTATGGTATATTTTCGAAAAAATTAGACATTTTGAGCTAATACCAGGGTATTGGCAGAACAAATGACATGATCCATGGCAGTAGTAGCAATGAACATATTACAAAACCTGCTCCAATACCACTACCGAGGGCAAGTAATATAAACTACCCAATACTTTGTAAACAAAATAGAACAGAATACAAATATAGACATGTCCAGGTTTGCTACGTGTAATCAGTACACATGGATTTACGGATTTTTATGACTATTTTGCATGGTGTAAATGTTCACAAATTAAATAATCAATTACATTATGCAAACCAAGATTCCAAAACGAATTATAAAATAACCTCACTGCTGTAGGGTGAAAATCCTAGCAATGTACTTGTCTACCCACCAGTTTTCTTAAATCATCAGCCAAAATACCTTGAAAACAAAAGTTTTAGACATGACAAAATAAAATTATCCCGCGACGTAATTTCGCTTTACTTACAATGCCACAACATTCTACATACTAACCCAAAAGCTGAAAAAATCAGAATAAATACGGAGTGAGGAGCACACTACCGTGCCTCGTCAGGCTGACCTGCACCCTGTAAACGAAAAATTCCCAGCAAACACCGCCACATTGCCAAGCTTTTGAATTGCATTGACGTCACACGTTTTAGTTCGGCTCACGTCGGAAGCGTGTTGTTAGATGGCGCAAAAATTCATTACCCCGTTTTTTGACCGCCAAGTTTCCCTACCCTGGTGCACTAGATAGGTCACATCTGTCCTTATTCAAATTCCATTCCAGTAGCCAATCAGAGTTAGAGGCCCGACGCCATAAACATCCTGTACAACACCAACCTCGCTCAAGCGGAGGGAAATATACGAACTACTTATTTCATTTTTTGAATTTTTTCGCAAAACGAGTCGGTTTGTTACCGTTGGATTCCTCCTTCGTCCATCTTATGGTATATCACTGCTATCGTAGGCTTTAACGCCATATCGGGGCATCAGTGAAGTAGAGTAAATGAAGTAATTTATGAAATTGTATAATATCAATATGCTCAATAAATTCTAGATTTTACTACCCTAATTTGACTTTTTTTGTTCAGATTAAAATCAGATTTTCTGATGTGTAGCAAGTAACCACCAATAGAAATACAACATCAAGACAAACTTCTACTGCACCAACTGTTGATGTTGTGTTCTCTTTTAAGTTCATTCTCTTTTTTATTTAATAACTTGTTTTTTCACTGTTTTTGTACAAGGGTGGTGGTGGTATATCCATGTATGGTTCGTATTGTAAATTGTTGTGAGTATCTTGTATACAAATGTAAGCTTACTAAAACTATTAATAAATATGTGTAATTCAAATCGCGTTAATTATTTAAAATATTAAAATGGTTATGGACCCAGATGCGTCTTGACCTGAAGGAACAAGACTTTGAATTTAATATTGACAAGAGAGGTTAATACATGAAGTCAATATCGGTTTTCCATTAACTAGTATAAACTTTTCAAAACGGATACAAGATTGATAAACATTGGCTGTTTGGAAGGAAAGTCAAACTGAAGTACCTGAAAATGTAAAGCTAGTGTTTGTTTACGAGGTATACCTGAAGCACTTGATGTGGCTGAAGGTAGGTTAGTGAAACCAAAAGAACCTGAAAGTGATGCAGATGCTGATGTTACGGCGGCACACTTTAAGGCAGTGAGAGATTAGAGGAAAGAATGAACATCTTCATGTATTCTCTTTTTCTGAATGTAATTCCGAAATAAAATAATTGCTTAAATGTTTGAGGGAAAGTGTACAATTTTTGAGTTGATAACTGAGAAAATTTATTTTGATCGAGTTTTAAACAATGTGTGCTTTTAAGCCACACGAAAACTATTGCAATCAACGCTTAGGAAATTTCAACCTTCCCTCCTCCCATGAGCTAATCGCTCATATCTCTCTACGCTCCTGCAGCCAAAAGAGGAAAAGGTTTTTAATGGACCTATATTGCACAAGGGGAGAGTCTCCTCCCTCTTTTTGAACCAGATGAACGTGAGCAGTGAGTTTCGTCTTATTTTGGCAGGCAAGGGTCACTCGGGAACAAAGCAATAACCTTCCAATATGGCCTAAAACCACTGCAAAATTGAACTAATAGATCTTTCTCTTACAAAACCGCAACACTAAATTTCTCAAGGCCAACAGTTATGCAATGATTGTCTTAACAACAAATATATCTGAAGATAGTCTAAAGAAAATAATGTGTCTAAACACTGCTCATGATATTTGGTTAGAGCTTCATAAATTGTTTGACAGTGTTTCACAAGACAACGCTTATGATCTGTGTTTGCAATTCTTTGGGTTCAAGAAAAATACTTCTGATGATATAGCTACACATATCTAAACTGAAGAGTTTGTAGACTCAATTGAAGGAAGAAATAGCTAAAGATACTGAGAATAATTCAGAGCTACTTGTTATATTTTTGATATGCAAAATTTTGGGAACATTACCAGAGGAATATTTCTCATTTAAATCTAGTTGGATGGTTATGTCAAAAAATGACAGGACAGTGGATAATCTAACAAATCAATTATATACCTATGAAAAATCTTTATCCAGCAAAGGAAATGAATGTATGTATCAAGAAGTGCTTGCAATCAATTTCAAAATGCAGTATTCCAATCAGAAAAAGAAACTAATATGTTATTATTGCAAAAAAAATCTAACCATTTGGTTTCTAAATGTCGAAAATGGATTGATAATGGAAGGACATCAAAAATAAACGATGGAAAAGGTAAGGTATCAGAACCTTCTCATTCTTTGAATCAAAATTATTCAAATATGATTCTTACAGCTGTGACATCTGTTGTGATATCAGTCAAATGTAACAATGATGGTTGGTATGTTGATAATAACGCAACAACACCATATTACAAATGACAAACTTTTCAAGTCGTTTTGGACTTTTTCTACAACACGTACAATAACTACTGCCAGAGGAGATACTGTTAAGGCTGTGTGAAAGGTGCAGTTGACATTGAAGCAGTGGTTAATGGGAAGTGGAAAAGCTTTCTCTGGGAGACGTATGGTGTTTCAAAGATTCAAAAGAATTTATTTTCTGTTCTTGTTGCACAAGATCTTGAGAGTTAATTTATATCAACATCACAAGTATGTAGTTTTAAAATTATTGAAGAGGTTATGTTGGTTGGTGTACATGAACGTTTTGGACGTTTGTTCAAGTTATCTGTAAAGGGACTCGGACCGCAGTTGCCTACTGAGGTAAATCTAGCCAGTCAAGAAAATGTGCTTCATGAAAGGTATGGTCACCAAAATAAGAGACACGTAAAGATCATACTTTCTAGAAACTTAGACATGAATGTGGATATGGATTCTGAGCTGTGTGAAAGTTGTATTTTTGGTAAAGCTCATCGCCTACCGTTTGGAAGTAGAAAGAGGTATTAGCACCAGAAGAGCTAATTTACACAGATGTGTGTGGTCGTTTTCAAGAATCGCTATTTCGTTTTGTTTAAAGACGATTATACTAAATTCCAATAAATTTACTTCATAGAGGAAAAGTTAGATGTGCCTAACAAACTGACTCTGCTATAAAGCAGAAACAAAGCACCTGGTCACATAATTAAGGAAATACTGAGTGACAATAGAAGAGAATTTGATAGAAAGGCTATTAGAAAAATTCTTGAAAAGGAAGGTATAATTCAACGCTTCACAATACCTTATACTCCTAAACAAAATGGTTGCAGCGAAAGGGAAAATCGCACAGTTGTAGAAATGGCTGAGGCAATCATGTATGCCCATGGTCAGATTCCTCAATCACTTTGGGCTTATATGATTAATACAGCATCATGTACCTTGAATCGCACAGGAGTTTCTAGTGATCTAGAGAAGTCTCCTTATGAACTTTGGTACAAGAAGAAACCTGGTTTAAAACACCTTTGCATAAAAGGTTCTACTTGTTACACTCACATTCTGAAGCAAAGATGAAACAAGATGGATTGGAAGGCAGTTTCAGGAATCTTAATTGGCTATGACCATAATGAAGGGTATAGGATCTGGAATAAAAATAAAAACAAATTAACTAGATGTCATTTTTGAAGGAAAAACACTACTTGAAAGAAAAAATGGGGAAATTCCTGTGGGTATTGAAAATTTACATGTAACAATTGAAAATAATGTGGAGTGTTATGATGCTTATGAAGATGTGCAACTATATATAATACAATTAAAAAAATTAACTTGAGGGTGATGGTGCAATTCTGGCTTCAGGCTCAGATTCAGTCGAAATACTTAGAGAAACATGTGTCAATTCTTTGGGTCAGACAATAACCCCCAAAACCAAAAATGCAATGCCACAATGCTTTTTTGCTGGGGAAAAAAAGAGAGTGATAGCGTAATTCTGGCATCAGATTCAAATTCAACACATTGAAATAAATAGAAAAATATGTGAAAGTCTCTGTGTCTGACAACTTTTCTTTGTATGCCTGTGTAATTAACTCTTTTCATGTCTAAATAAAAGGAGCTCACGAAAACTTGGGCAGAGTGTAATTTTATTTACTGTCCAGAAATCAAAGCAAGGGGGACATCTCAGCATTTGCTCAAAAGATCAAGAGAAACTGGATCAAAACTGATTGAATTAGTGGAATTGCTCTAACAGATGAATTACAATACTAGTTACAATAATGATTATAATTATTATGATAGTAATAATAATGCTCTGACACATTTCAGGAACAACACAATTGGATTAACAAAAAACACAGATAACAAAAAGGGTTGAAACAAAATATTTTGTAGTAGAAATAAAAGACTATTAGAATAATTTGTTAGAACACATTAAGAGAACTAAGAATGAAAGACTAAGCACTCAGGTACTATAACTACAGCAACTATAAACACTCAGGCCAAGAAAGCATTTGAAGACAAAGAAAATGAGGAGAGAGCAGGTACAACATCAGATCTTCTGAACAAAGAGGAACAAGTGAAAACGCTTATGTCTTGCAGTCCAAGATGAAGATGATGATTATTTGTTGTGGAACTTTATAAAGACTAGGCTTTTTCTCTAGGTCACAATCAAAAGAACAACATTATGTATTAGAAATGGGAGCTTTTATATTCATTTCTATTAAACCAAATCGCTGTGGAGCAGTCTGAAGCTTCTTGTACCAGAAAGATCAAGACAGGAAATGCAATTCACTTCTATGATATGCCATTATTTCATAATAAAAATGTATTGCTGTTTTGAAATATCAGAAATTACCTCTTTGTGATTAATTGTTACCAAAGGAATACCATATTAAATGGTTTGTCAGCTGGTTAATAGAAAAAAACTTTATTACAACATTCCAGGAACTCTGTACAATAACTCTCCATCTTCATCGTAATAACAATCATCTAATTTATACAAAATGCCTTTTTTCTTCAAATGATGGGGGATTTGAATATGAACATATATTTTGTTTTGTGGTTTCAAGGAAGCAACTGGGTATTTATCAAATGCACCATCAGAGAAATCATTTGAAGAAATGCTTTTTTTTGGTTCATTTCGCTTTTCCAAGCTAATTTTGTAACTGTCCATCATTGCTTTATCTTCAGAATTTAAAGGTTTTCCAGATTTCAATACCATCTCACGATACATGTCCAAAGTATTTACTGTTTGCAACTTCTTTTCCCCATTATCTAAAACATATGTTTCTTCTGGTGGATTTTGAAAAGAATTTTGAGCAAAAGATTGTCTTAATTTCTGAAACGGATCAGTTATTAAATCTTCTGATTTTGCTGCTTGGACTATTCTGTAAAATTCTTTACATTTAGGTGAAATAATGGACTTTGTAATCTCTCTTGAGTAAGAGGCTGAAAAAAAGCATGTCAATAACAGTAACGATAATAGCAGTAATAATAATAATAATAATAATAATAATAATAATAATAATAATAATAATAATAATAATAAACTTTCTTGAAGGTTACATTACTGTGACTATTGAAAAGTCAACCAGATTTACAGTCAGCAGAGATCAATAATGACCATCCTTACTAGTAGGAGGAAAGATTTGTCTTTCTCTAGAAGAAAACCGTGACAAATGAGCTCTTGTTTCTTCTGAAATATTTAGTTTTCCTTCACTTAGCAACTTCCAATTTCTCTCCACTGATTTATTGTATTGATTGATTCTGTTAACACTAGCAGGTCTCCACTTGGCTCTTAAAATTTTCTAGAACGATATTCCAAAATTAGGAATCTGGTATTGTATTTTGAATTTGCTGGGTTTTTTGTTTGTTTGTTTGTTGTTTTTTTTTTTTTGTTACCTCAATGGCTGATTGTGAAGCAGGGAAACTTTCCGAGAGTGTGTGAACATTCCATTTATCTGGGTTCAATTTATGCAACTGGTATATTTGTTCTCGTTCTTCCCATGTCAACATGGCAGGTTCTACCTCTTTGTTGAAATATTTTTTCTCTAGTATTTTTGTCCTCACTTTATTTTGAATTTTTTGCATTTCTCTGAAATAAATTTTAAAAGAAAATTAAAAATCCAGTTAAATGTTGAAATAATAATATTTCTTAATAGAGCATGATTTCCAGGCAAGCCCAAGGGAACAGTGTTTCTTGGGAGTTCCTTCCTAGGGAGCAGAGACCTTTCAGACGCATTGAAAAGAAGTATTGAAAAATATATTTTCGATTGGATTAATTTATTACAAACATTATTAAAGAATGCCTAATCTGTGTACAAAAGTGAGAATTCTTTCAAATGAATTTTATTACGATGAATTAAAAAGATTAGCTATTACTCATTATTGTTCTTAATTAAATTGCTGGTCTTTCTTCATTATAGATTAGATTTTATACTTCAAAATATGCGAGTTAATGAGTGTTAGAGGTAACCAAGCAACTGACAAAAGAGCAAGACACAATTCAAAAACCGTGAATTTGTGAGAAGTATATTTAATTTTTAGGTATTTGTACAAATTACTTTTTAATATTAATTTACACCAAGATCATGAGAGAGTTAAACATATTTTAACTCTTAAAAATTAATGTAAGTTCAAATCTGCGATGTAGTGATTAAACAGATTTTTTTTAAAAACAATAATAGTTCTTACCTTTCTTGCTCGTGTTGAGTCAAATGTACGTTCATAAAATCCGATTCACTATTTTCTAATTCATATAACTCTTCATGGGACAGACAATCTTTATCGTTATAATCCAATGCTGTTAATCTTCTTTCTATTCCTGGGTTCGGAACTCGTTTACTGGCCAGGGATCTAAGCGAACGAACTTTTATTTGACTGAGCACAGTAATTTTGTGCACTGCGTATGTCAGTTTGTGAAGTGATACAAGAGTTGTTAAAAGATCCCGTCGATACATATTTACTTCCAATGAATATAATTAAATTTCAGTCACAGATTGCTTGACAGACGTGGATGATAATTGATGTCAATCTCGTTAATCCATGGTATACCAATGGTGTACAACTCAATCGAGACATCCGTTCAAAGAGCTCATTTGTCAGAGGTGTGCCCAGAGAGTATATTTCAATTTTCAGGAGTCGGCAACTCAATGTTATTCTGAAGCCTCCTTATTTTCATGGAGGGAAGAAGGACGACCTCCCTCCCATATATCTGTGCATTGCCGTATGCGCGGTGTAGCGAACGCCTTTGTGTGTTTTTTGTGTTGTTTGGACGAATTTCTCGTTTTTTTTTCAGTGTTGTTGTAAAAGATTTGGCAATCTGTTTTAATCTTGAAAATGGTAAGACACGAATTTAAATAAGTATTTAAGGTTTATTCAATGCTCTGATTTCGGCACGTGGTAACACCACCGTTCTTTTGTAGAAATATGGTAATTCTCTGGAGGAAATTAGCAGAGGAAACGGAAGTGTAAATGTGCTGTCCATTTAATGTACAAGGGATTGGATATTTGTTAATGTATTACTGTGGCAGCTTTTGGGTGCCCAGTGTGTAAGGATACATGGCCTGGAAAACTTTTTGATAAGTGATGTCCATTAAATGTCTAAGGGTGGTGAGAATTGTTAGGTACTAACTGTGTAGTTATGTTATAGGTACAAATGGGGGGAAAAAATTTAGGCCATCCTGGGGAAACCATGTATAAAAAACACGTTCGGCTCGCAACACCATGCGTTTTCTACCTAATATGGTGGTGTGGGAATGAATGAATTATTTTTGGGAGAGCATGTCTTAAATTTCCTTTTGCAATTTCGATCATGTCTTTGTTTGCCTTTCGTGGGGTGAATATCCCACAAATCCAGGCAATATTTCCCTAGCATGCGGGGACACCTTGTGAGTCTTTCCTTTCAATTTATGCGGAACTGTGAGAGCATGTGCATTCCCAATATTAACACCACAATGTGAGTCCCCTTGCAGTTGCCGGTTTAAAGAGAAAATTTGACTTCATTGCAATTAGATTTTATATTGAAGATTAAATGTTTGTTGAATGTGTATTTTATAGAAAAATGTATTTTGCATTTCTGCAAAATTTGGAAGCTTTAATAAACAACAAATTTGTAAGATTTTTTTTTTTTATTATATTTTGTTTCCCTATTTGGTTTTCCTTTCAATTAGTCCTGGTCCCAGACAACTGAATAATGGAATAGGCAAATGACTCCAACAAGAATTATTTGCATCTAACTTTTGCTTGTTATAAATCCTATTCAAGATAAATCATTCATAAACAAGTAGGTTTAAATTTAATTAGATACGTTACTCATGTATTAACCTATTTTCTTTAGAATATCCTGCTCTATAAAACTATTTGTATTTTGGCGGGTTTTATGACATTTTTGGTCACCACGCCCTAGTTATTCACCTAGAACCTGGGAGTGCTGCCAGTGTTTTATTCTAAGGCCGAATTCATAGTCGTCACTTAATACTACTGAGTGTTCCCTTAAGTACAATGAATCGGCATTCATAACAGTCCTACGTGAAATCTTAAGTGGAGCACTCATTCCTAAAAGGAGGCAGCCTGCTCCCTTACACCTTTCCATCAAACACCAATCCACACCCATCGCTTCAACACAAACTGAGTGAAATTAAATATTACTTGAGAAACCTCTTTGTATTTGTATTCGATAGGAGACAAAAGATGTTAATAAATAGTGTACGACCTTTCTTTCATCATGAACAATCACGGTTGAAAAAAACGTATCACTCTGAACGTATCTATCACAGGTAGCATTACGCAACGCATGGAATATTATTTGTATAATGTACCCAAATTTGATATTCCCTATTTTCATTTCAAACCAGAGCAATTCCAAGCAACAAATATATAAGCAATGCAAAAAGGATTTTAAAAGGACAAAACAACTTCTTTTTGCATGGAAAATCTCGAACTTTTATGTGCATTATCTTGCAAAATGCTTCCTATTATACCGTAGATAAATTTCTGCTAATATAACATTTCAATATATTTTAATGCTACTACTCATCATAATACATTAAGAATACATATCAATTATGTTTGCAAGCTACATCAAATTAACAATAGTAGTACATTCTATATTTATAACTTGAAATGGTGAGGAGGCATAATTTTGACCAGTTTTTTTTCTTTATTCACAGGTGTAATTGTGGCAGTTCTTTTTCTTTGCTTCAGCTGAAATACATTTCACACGAAGCAGAAAGTCTCCATGTTAATAAGAATTCTTATTCATTTATATTTTTTAAGGGAAATGTAATTTGAAAAATTCCATAAACTGTAGAAACATGTTATAAACAAGGAAAGCTTTCAATTTTACTTTAAATGTAATGAATTGTGTTTATGTCTTTTGATATCATTGGCCCTAGTTTGGTTGTAAAGTGTACTGCCCTCTAGTTAGGGTTGTTTTCTGATTAAGTGTAGTATTCAGACTGGGGGAACTTTTGTAGGTTATCCTTTGATGGTGTTGTAAGTTATGTACATCAAGAATTTAAAGTAAAGTGTCTTTGTTTTCCATGAGAATTTTCTTTTGTGAAGACCACTATTTCAAATATGTACACTGGCATGTAGAGCGAAGAACCCTTAGTTTGTTAAACAAGGTTTGCAAGACTCCAGCTTATGAGTGCTGTCATTGTTTCGAGTATTCTTTTTTGGATATAAATGTGCGAGTGCTTTCAGGGGCATTTCCCCAGATATTATTCCCTTTTTAGTGTGAGTACACATTTGCAAAAAATCATTGTTTCGAAGTGTCTCAATGTGGGGCTTGACCTGAGGGTGTATAGGGCATAGCAAGATTTGCTGAGCTTCTTGTTAAGATTTGCGATGTGAGTGTTCCATTTTAGGTTTTCTTGAATTGTTAGTCCGAGGAAGGTAGTTTCATGAGATATCGTTACACGGTTATTGTTTTATGAGCAAATGCTCGAAGTTTTTCTTAGATCGAGGATTCACTGAAATTTTAAGAGAGACTCTCTTACTGGTGTTTATGACTGAGTTTGTTGTCTTGAAACGCATGTTACTCAGTGCTTGCAAAGTTTTGTGGGTTCTTTTTCTATGATTGTTGTGTTTTTGCCTTTGATGATGATGTTTGTGTCATCTGCAGAAACACAAAATTATTTTGTTGTTCCTTAAAGCCAAAGGCATGTCATTTATGTATTGTGGAATAGTATTGAGCCTCAAGGAATGGATCCTTGCAGGACTCCACAATTTATTGATTTGCACGGACAGGAGTAGTAATGAAGGAGAATTTTTGTTTTCTGGAGTGTGTTTTGGAGGGCAAACTATTTGTCTACGATAAATATGATTGATCCTCATTGGCCTGCAATGCCTCAGAATCCCTAGCATTTCTATTTTCTTAAAAGTTATGATGGTCAATGATGTCAAAGGCTCTTGACAAATCTAAGAAAAGGCCAATGGGTAATTTCTTCTGATTTAGTGGCAACAAGTATGCATTAAAAAGGAGAAATGCGTGTCTGTGGATCTATTATCTGAAGCATGTTTCGTGCATTTGTAGGGACCATTATTTGCATTGAGAAACTGTTTGAAGTCTATCATGAAAAGTCTTTCAGATTTTTGAAAATTCCTGATAAAAAGGACAATAGGCCTGTAGTTCATTGGGTCATCCCTCAGTATTGCCCTTTTTTTAAACAATTGGTTTTTTAATTTTTGCTTTTTGAATATATCTGGAAATATGCCTGATTTAGAGAGTAGATTGCAGATGTGAGAGAGTGGTTGCATATATCATGGAGCACCTGTGTTTAATAAGAAATCTGGAATGTTGCCCATGCCTGCTGAGAATTTATTCTTCCATATTGTCCACTGCTTTTGAAATTTTCAGAGGGGGGTGGTTTCATATAAAATATGGAATTTAAATCTGTGTATATTAGTGTTTGTTTGGGTGTGTTTTATTGTTTAGAGAGTGTTGAGAAATTAACTTAAATTACTAATTTTGTGAAGGAGTAGTTCATTTGAATATATCAGCTAATTTCTTGTGGGTATTGTAGTTTCATTTTTGTA